GCTTAAATCCCTTCAGAGGGAGTTTGTCTCCCCTACACTCCCCCCTGACTGAATCCCCTCCATTGGACTCCTTTGTTTACTTCTGGAACAAAATGACATCACTACGGAACACTCACGCTTCTATTGGCTAGCGCTCCAACACATTGTACGTGATAAGGCTAAGGAGCGGGACATCTACAGTCTAAGCGGTTGTCCAATCACAACAGAGTCAGCGAGCTAACCAATCAGAGCAGACTGGGCTCTGGTTTCAGACAGAGGGTGAAAAGAGGTGCTGCAGCACAGACAGTATGAGAAAAATAAAGAGTTTTTTGAACATAAAAGGCACGTAAACGTTTCACATTAGGGGCATACAATACAAATATGAAACTGATAATTAACAGAGTGTACTCTTTAGGCTCCGAGACTCCCTTTAGATTGCACAAACAGCATATTTATTGTTAAAACTGTAACTTTAATGTACACCATCTGTGTTAAGCTGGCTGTACTGAAGTTTTGCATAAAAGTCACAAATATTGGGCTTAAAAACCTCCAATAAACACTCGACACCGGCCTCTTCATTCGCTACCCTGCCACCGCAGCACTTCATCTGAACAACTTTCAATAAACAACTTCAAAAAGAGATGAGGAAAACTCTTTCTTCGTTATATAATCACTGAATAAACCACAGGAAATACTGATATGGCTACTTGCCTAACAGGCACACTGATAAGACTGTAAACAGCTAATAAACAAGAGACACATCAGGGCACAGTAACAGTACAGTCTAAAGAAACAACAGGGAGATTTACTCCATGTGCCGAGCAGTCACTTTGTTCATTTTCTGCCTCAGAGATCATACTGATTGTCATGGACACCACATTTTACATTACACTGGCCGCACATCTATCATGACTGTTGTTTGTTTGCCTCTCACATCCAGCAGAAAATGAGACAATTTATCTAAAGGAACGCTTTGGCGCTAGCTTACTGCTCCTTTATGGCTGCTTAGTGATGTGCTCCGGGAATATAATATTAATATAGATTACCTTCAGCATGTCATAAATCCTCCGGAGGGATCTGAGGTCAGGCTGTGGGACTTTGATGTTTAACTGCCATATTTCATCTTTGAATGTTACAGTTTAACATGAAACAGAGCTGGAAAACAAATATGAGTGGGCTTTGGAAGCTCATTTCCGCCATTGTAATGAAATAAAGGTCTGCTGAGATATTATAATGAGAAACTTTCTTGACATAATGACTTAGTATCTGAAAAGAACGACTTGGTATCTGAAAAAAATTACTTAGTTTCACAAAACGATAAGTGAATAACTTAAAATAATGACTTTAAAGCTCAGGATAATAACAGTACATCAAAAATAATGACATTTTATCTCATACAATGACTTAATGTTTCAATAAAATGACTTAATATCTCAAAAATAATTACTAAATATCTCAAGATAATGACAGTATCTAATAAAAATAACTTAATATCTCAATAAAATAATAATGCATAAACATCTCGAAATGTTGACGTAGTATCTCAAATAATGACAATATCTTGAAAAAAGGACTTGTTATCTCTAAATAATGACAAACTCTTCTGGAAATAAGGACTTGCTATTTCCAAATTATGACCTCATGTCTCAAATGTATGAGTTGATTTAAAAAACGAGGAAGTGTTTGCAAAATAATAAGAAACGTATTATAACTGACTAACAGGATCTTATTTTTGGACATGGGCTTCTATAGAGTGCAGTTCTGACATTTTGTCCTAACAAAGCATTCATAAACATTCAAGTCTCATGAGGGTTTCGTATCCAGGCTACAGGCAATGGTTGTTTCATTACTCATCTTTATGTTTTTTTCCTTATTTATTTATTTATTTTCCCTTTGCTGAACACAGAAAAATAAATTCATGACACAGTTGAAAGACGAGGCCCACGAGACCGATGTGTTTGGCTGTGGAACAAACGGCAAAAACAAATCCATATCTGAGCCGAGCATTTCAGCAAATGTGACTGTAGGATATTCTGCTGCTGTTGCTAAGAGACAAAGGACTTTTGCTGTAAAAGACCACCACCTACACACACACACACACACACACACCGTTGTCCATCGGGAGCACCTCAGGGTTCAGTATCTTGCCCAAGGACACATCGACATGTTGACTGCACGGGCTGGGATCGAACCA